TCTTTATATAGTTTAGAAATCAGCCCTGTATAGGATATGGGGTAGGTAAAGATCATTTCCCATTTTGTAGGCTCCCATTTTTTCCTATTGACATGAAGCTTTTCAATTTCATGAGGGCCCATTTATTAACCTATCTTAGTGTCTGTGTTACTGGTGTACTATTCAGCAAGTTGTTTCCTATACCAATGCATTTAAGGCTGTTTACTACTTTGTTTTCTATCAAGTTCAGTGTAACTGGATTAATGCTGATGTCTTTGATTCACTTGGACTAGAATATTGTACAGGGCGATAGGTCTGGATCTATTTGCATTATTCTACATGCCAATATCCAGTCAGACCAGGAACATTTGTTGATTTTTTTTCCATTATATAATTTTGGCTTCTTTGTTAGAAATCAGGTGTTATAAGTGTATGGATTTATGTCCGCATCTATGATTGGATTCCATTGATCCAAGTGTCTGTTTTTATGCCAATGCCATATTATTTTTTATTACTATTGCTCTGTAGTAGAGTTTGAAGTCAGGGATGTTGATACCTCTATGTTTTAGCCTTTCTGGGTTTTTCATTTCTCCGTATGGAGTTGAATATTGTTCTTTCAAGTTCTGTAAATAATTGTGTTGGAATTTTGATGGGAATTGCATTGAATCTGTAGATTGATTGTGGTAAGATGGTCATTTTTACTATGTTAATTCTACTGATCCATGAGGATGGGAGATCTTTTCATGTTTTGAAATAATCTCTAATTTCTTTCTCAAAAGACTTGAAGTTCTTGTCATATGGGTCTTTAACTTGCTTGGTTAGAGTTACTACAACATATTTTATGTTATTTCTGGCTATTATGAAGGATTTTGTTTCCATTAAAACTAAAGTAGTCCAGAAAAATCAATTCTGTTCTATTAATACATCCATTTTATGTAACACATCATTGTTTTTGTCTTTATTATTGACATCTTTTTCCTATGCCTCCTCGTTAGAAATTCAAGCATGTCGTGAAGTTGTAATTATGTAATAAATATGAGCAATGAGAGTGACCATGTTCTTTCCATGAGAAGCTTTAGTCTTACAGTCTTCACAAATTAAGCAGGACTTGCATGTTAATATAATTGGGTTGAAAATAATTTAGTGAAGACCTAATGATAAGCTGACCACAGGTGAGAATATGTGACACAGTGACAAACTTTTCTTGCTGTCAATTCCTTCCTAGGATTCAGATACTTAATGGGTTCTATCTGTACTGTGTATCAGAAGCAAATATTCTCTGTTGTAACTTCTAAAATTTCAGATCCACAAAATCCAAGCACAAGCAAAAGAAAAACATTTGTTTTCTATTAAAACACTAACTTTGTAGTATTATGTGCATTTCTTAAAGTAAGAAGCCACCATGCCTGGCTTAACCTAATTCTTTTAGAGTTTTGGAATCCCTCATAATATTTTATCAGTGAGTTGATTTTCCTTCTGACTTGATCTCATTCTTTTTCTCAACAAAGATGGGCCTTTTTCACACAGAGAATCCATGATCACATATAGTAGCTAAGGAGAACATCTTGTTAGCATTGTTTCTTCAGTATGGAAAGCTCCTGGGCATCCTATTATAGTGATGCTGTGTGGTTGGACCTTTAACAACAATATTAACTATATCTTGATATTGAATATAATACAAATGAGTCATAGCTCTGCTTCAATTTTAGAATAGAAATATATTCATTTGAATGAGTTTTTACAAATATGTCACACAAAGACAATTGGGTTTATTAAAAAAGGTCTAAGATTTCAAGAATTTATTGTCTTTAAAAAGGAGCATGTAGAGATAGAGAGGACCAGCTACACAAAGTTGTCTTTTAACCTCTACAAAACACTGTGAGCACACACAATCATGTACACATATACACACATAATCACAATAAAAATCAAACTTAAAAAGTACTATACTAAAAAGAAAAACAAAAACAAAAACAAAGTATCAGTCCCCGAAAAGATTTACTGTATTTACATAACCTCCCTTGGAAGACACACTTTCCTCACTCTCTGACAAGATGTTAAGAAAAGATTTGAGCAGCTGTGAAGATATTTTCTCATTTAAGTTGCATGTAATTTATTATAGTCTAAATATACTAAAATAGTTAAAATTAAAGACTTTCATTTTCAAAATATATCATTTTCTTAAAATTTTGACATCATTGCTTACATATTAGAGTAATTGATAATTCAATTTTTTCTTATAAAGGAACATATTTAATTAGGATGGCTTACTAGTTTAGAGATTCACTCCATTGTCATTATGGTGACACATGGTGGAGTGCAGGCAGACATGGTGCTGGAGAGGTAGCTGTGAGATCTACATCTCGTGTAGGCAACAAGTGGTCTGAGACATTGGGTGTGGCTTGAGCATATATGAGACCTGAAAGCCGAAGCCCAGAGTGACACACTTCTTCCAACAAGGCCACACTTACTTTAACAAGGCCACATCTCCTAACAGAGCCATTCTCTATGAGCTTATGGGGGGGGGTAATCACATTCAAACTACCACACCACTTATTCAGAGGGCCTGATCTAGTTGGGGGCCCCTCAGCCTTTGATTTCACAGTTCATGTGTTTCCATTTGTTTGGCTATTTGTCCCTGTGCTTTATCCAACCTTGGCTTCAACAATTCTCGCTCATGTAAACCCTACTCTTTCTCGCTAATTAGACTCCCGGAGCTCCACCTGGGGCCTAGCCATAGATCTCTGCATCCAGATTCCTCAGTCCTTGAATGGGGTTTCTGGCACGACTATTAGGGTGTTTGGCCATCCCATCACCAGAGTAGGTCAGTCCTGGCTGTCTCTCGGCCATT